TATAGATATCCCTCATAGAATTAATGAGCGTTATACATTGGAACACCATTTCAAACCACATCATCATTTCAAAAAAGGGTCGAGTTCTACATACTGTATATTGGTGTTTCACGCACCAAGAGAGGAATGAACTCGGTTTATATTAGGAAAATATGTACACTTTCCATAAACAGTGCCGAGTTTTAGTAATATAGAAAACACCATTTGCTTATTCAGGCATATATTAATATTGTACACAAAAGGAGGATTTGAACTCGGGTTGCTTATTCTTAAACAAAGTAAAAATAGCCACCAAGCTACACATTATATTGTACAATGTCATCAAAACTAACTTTGAAAACTTTTCATCTCGTCTCACAAATACTTGTGTGTTTTAAAATATGATTATATGACATGAAAGAAGAGATTAACACAAGCATATTCATGTATTCAAATCACAAATTCATCAATTACTAGAGCATGAAATCTCTGTTTAAAATATGCAATCTTTGAAATAAAAAAAACAAAAGCTCGATTGACCAAAAACAAAAGACCGGGCCGCTTTGCGACCCGGCCACGCCATTGCCCTCGCAAAATGAAAGAGATGAAAAAAAAAATCGTACAAAACGGATTACTCTACCGAAAGTTATCGCGTTTTCAAGTTTTGCAAATCCTTTTTTGGACTCAATTTGGGGACGTAGGCAAAGGGGAGGCAAGGGGGATAAAAGAACGCTGGAATACATTTTATAAACTTAACCTTGTAATTTCAATTATTTACAATTTATGTCAATCTCTAAGAACATATACACCAATAAAAGAAAAACCTAGCTTTCTTCATTCTTCGTGGAATTGCAAGGATGCTATTCTTCGGTCTCAGTCTGGGAATCGCTGGCAATAAAAAAACGCTCTCTTCGTTCTTCTTAGAATTGCAAGGATGCTCTCTACAAAGTATGCTTGTGTAAGTCTTCTCCTTCCTATTACGTTTTTGTGTAGCTTCAGTGGATTAGGGGCTTGCGAGTAGCTCCAATTTTCCCTCTTTATTTCTCTTATTATCTATGAAAATTTCGGCAGCTGGACTGTGATACATACCTCTTCTCCTCAAACGCTTGAAGGCGTTAATTAGGGCATGGAGGGTGGAGTCTTAGTGGAGAAAACATATGATTAGATTGAATCATGTACGTGGCAGATATTTCTTTGAATAACGTTTCACTAACTCCATGACTTACCACTCAAAACTTGGATACATATCTCTTCTCTGTTTTTTTAGAGAAAAATTTTTATCCAAGAAATTCTTAATCAGTACGTGTGAACACTTGCATCACACACCTGAATCACTATCTCAGTTTGAATCAAGTAAGAAGCCTCGTTTTTGTGGAGTAAATTGCAGAGCTGGTTTTATTTTTTTGTTTATGCAGTTCTTTACTACACCGCACTTAATCTCGATTTACTATAAAAACATCTAAATCAGAACCTGAATTTTTCCATGTCAGTTATTTTCATGTGCTGTTAGGAGGGAGAAATACGTAGTCAATTTCAGAGATTGGAATTGCTGCTCCACTTTAATTTCCTTAGGCAGCTCGTCCATGCAATTGTCCTATCTCTTATTTTCTGTTTCATTCACCAAGGAACTTCACCGTTTTCATTGAGAGGTTTGTTATGTTTCAGTGTAGTCGTATTGTATGATGTTTTAATGACACTGTTTGCAGTTAAGAATAAAACAATAATAAAGTGAACAACTTGTAGTGTTCTGTTATTTAGACAAATACGTATCAGATTGCAGGGATATAAGATTTGCTACTAGACTTTAATCTGTTCATGCAGCTCTTCCATTTTATTCTCTTAAACCGGAAGTAAAAAAACGTTGTTTTAGTATTGTTGTTCATCTTGTTTAACGCATGTCTTTATTTTCACGCATCAAGTAAAAGAAACACTACAATTTTTTCCTGGGATTTATTTATACTTCCAGCTCGTCAATGGCACATAGAATCATATGTAAACTATGAACTGGTTACAAAATTTCCCACAAGCAGAACTTCAAATTACTGTATGTGAGGATGCTGTCTACTTCCAACTACTGTATGTGGGAAATATTCAAATGAGAACTTTGAAGGCCGAAGAGGGGAAAGGTTCCATGTTTGGGTTTGTTTAATAGGAAGTGTACATTCTTATCTCGGATAACCCTTATTCTTTGTTTCGCTTTGTGTAGCTTCTGAATTATTTTCCTTTACTTTTTCAGAACCTGCAAATCTTCCTCTGAGGTAAACGCTAATGCATCTTCTCTTATTTTCTATGTCAATTACTTATGGGTTAATGAGAACACAACTTTGTGGGGGTTTGAACCCTTTGCAAACTATGAATTGGTTTGTACCCTTTGCAAACTATTGGTTAATGAGAACACCCTTTGCAAACGCTAATGCAAAGTCTCTTATTTTCTATGTCAATTACTTATTTTCTATGTCAATTACTTGCATCATTACGTTTCTTCCATGGGGGTTTGAACCCTTTGCAAACTATGAATTGGTTACAAAAATTAATTATGGGCAAACCATCAAACCAGGATTAAAAAAAAAGAATAAGGCAAGACCTGAATTATTTCTGTGTCAGTTCATTTCATGTGCTTCTGTTTAGCTTCAATGGATTAATGGTTTCAGTTCATTTCATGTAGTAAATAGCACAGATGGGATTTGCCCTCCAATTTATCTTTTTCAACGCATGCCTATACAACCCTTTCTTTACATTTAGCACATATTTCTATTGCGTATCTTGTTCATGCACTGGGTCTATGAATTGAGTCTATGGTATATCAAGTATTTTTTTAAAGCATCTGTATCTCTTCCATGTGCAGTGTTGGTTTGTTAAATCTCACAAATCGTCGTTTTTTATACGTTTGGGTTACACATGGATTTATGGGAATATTAAATAGTAACTTATGGATTTCGTATTGAAGATTAATCTTCTTATGTTTACAGATGTAAACATTATCTAAACTATAACTTGATTGGAACGTGCTTTTGGTTTTGATTCAGATTTTGGAAGCAACCTTATCTAAACGTTCTAGATCTTTCTCTTATTTTCTATGAAAATGACTTCTTTGGTACCGCTCTCGGAAATCTTCGGTAAACTGAATTTCAAGCGCTAGGGTGCTCTCTACGGTAAAAGACAGGAATCTTCTATGGTGCAAGGCTGCCCTCTATGTTATGCTTATGTAAGTCGTCTTCTCCTTTGTTACATTTTTCGGTAGCTTTAATCATGCTCCACTGTTCCTTTTTATTTTGCTTTACTAGGCACGTTTATTTTAGAAACATAAATCTTTGAACCAGTTACGATTTGGTTATTGTCTAGCTTTGATGATTGAAGAGGTTCAGAGTATTTTGCAGAGATGAGACTTCCCATTGCTGTTTAGGAACCTACAAATTTTGGGTGCAATCCTCCTCTCCTCAGGTAAACACTATTCCGGGCATGAGTAAAATTTGTGAAAGAGATACTAAAAAGAGATAAAAAAACAACTCAAATATAATTTTCATTGGAAAGATAATATCAACTCAAATTAAAGGCTTAGAGCACCCACATAGGTGAGCTTCTGAAATGAGAGTTCTCAACTTATGTGTTTAAATTTAAATACAAAAAGAAAAATTAAACCATTAGCAATTGGCCATGTGGCATAAGAGTTTCTCATGAGTATTTCACAGTCTCTAATTTCTCTCTATGAGTATACTCATAACCTCTCTTTTGAGATACTCTGATCTCCTTCTCTCCGATCTCCTTCTCTCCTATTTTTTTTGATTTTTTCTTTATTTTTAGCGTTGAGATATCCATTGAGTATTTACCAATGGAGTTATACAATAAAAATAGTATAGTATGCAAAAGTACAATAATGTTTTTATTTTTGATTTCTTCTAAGGAAATGTTAGTTATTTATATTATGAGTGTCATTTATGCTGTTTAAGAATTAGTTGATATATATATATATATATATATACTGTATTAGTATTGGTAATATATACATCTAACAAATGAAGATAAAAACAATCTACATTTCATAAATTCTAAAACATTATTAATAATACTTTTAGGAAATGTAATACCTCCATTAAAGAATACCCTTTCCAAAATTTAATCTTTCTAAAACTCTGAGATATGTCCAAATGCGTAGAAACTAAATTTGATAAACAAATTTAGTTTGATATGTGACAAAAAAAAATTATATTCTATTTTATGTCCAGTTTACTATCATCTCAATGGCCCACTGAATGGGGAGCTGCGAGAAGTTGAAACGACCGACCGAAGCCTCGTTCACCCAGAAGTAGAAGTACTTCTCTCTCCACTTGTCATCTCGGTTTGGGATTCCTTGGAGAATCTAGCGGTCCGAACAACGGGACAGGTAGTAGGTTCCCTGGTAGCTTGAGTTGTGTTTAATAACACACAACTTGAGAAGCTTGTCGACCCCGAACGGTAGTCCCTCCTCTCGGGCACGGATGTATAACCCGACGATGTGGCGAACGAAGTTCGGACACATCTAAGGGAACGCAATTCGAAGCCGCCACAGAACTCCGGGATCGGGAACACCAGCCCACATCTCTTGAAGTAAGTGGTGTAAGCGCATCAGTAGCCGGTGGGGACTGTCTCCTGCGTATACGGTGGTCCGGGAGAGAGGATCATCTCAACGGACGGTGGTACGCCGTGCTTTTGGCGTAATTCTGCTAGATATTTATCGGTTGTAATCGGGGCAACGTGCCCACCCCAAACCTCTTTTGTGGACATTGTGATGTTCAAATTTACAGGAGAGATTGGGAGCAAAAGCGAGTAGTAAAAGAATAAAAGCATAAATACAGACGGTTCATGAGAAGAAAGGTGAGGTTTTTTACCTTGTTAGTGGACGATGATGTGATTGGAGGAGTCATGTAGCCTTCAGAAGCCTTCGATTCTTGTAGCCCAAATTATTATTTTGAGTCTACATTTTTTTGTCGGAACTGATTTGTTTACCTAGTGTTTTCGTTTTGTCTTATAATTATTAATTCATATAATTTTTGTGCCTAAAATTGGATGTCTTCTCAATTTAGATGGCTTCAGATGAGATTAATTTAGTGGTATATATCTATCTATATAGTGTAGATGTCCTTGTTTTGTACTTACGCCTATAAATCAGAAAATTATTGTATGTCTTTTAATTGGATTAAATACAATTTGAATGGTCTATTTTTTGTGCGTAAAATTAGTTGTCTTCTCGCTTGAAGTGGCTTCAGATGAGATTAATTTAGCGGTATATCTATCTATATAGTATAAATGTCCTTGTTTTGTGCGTAAATCAGTTGTCTTCTCGCTTGAAGTGGCTTCAGATGAGATTAAACCCTCTAACTCTCTGATGGTCAGGAGATACTCGTGATCATGGATAGTGAAGGTGATGTATCCCAATCCTCCATCTGAATCTATGTCCGGATCATCCTCATAAAGATGTATGACAAGCGTACCGAGGAACTGAATTGTCTCCTCTCGGTATGCGTTTCGCGGACTAGTCATGAGGGTGCTGAGATGACAATGTTCGAACATATACTCGACATCACCCGAGATAGCCAGCTCATCCATCGTCTGCTGGCAAGGGTACCTCGTGCCCTGAAACTCATGCTGCTGAAACAGCTTGTAATACTCTCCCGGGGCTAACCACTTCTCTGCCTTCTTCTTCTGCACTGACTTGCGAGCTGGGACAGGTGGATGCTCTTCAAGCTCATAATCACTGTCATCATCCTGCAGCTCCATTGGTTTCTTACCCAAAGACTTATTTGCTCTGCTTCTTGCCTGAGAAGGACAAACACCAGACGCTCTCTGATATGCAGCTTTCTTCTTCTCCATATAAACCTTAGACATAGACTGAGGAGATGCACGCTCTGTTGGTTTACAACAATACTTCTCACGCATTTAATGCAACAAATCTCTTGACATTATGATACTGAAACAGTTGGAACTCAAAGCTAAAAGTTAGCTTGTTAGTGTGCCAAATATCAAGATAAAGGTCGAAATGTGAAAGAGAAATGCAATGAAAGGTAACACTTATCAAATTTACCACTTTTTCACTTCTCGGTCGAGTGAGCTATCCCAGGCATACGCGCGTCAAGTAAGCGGTGGAGATGGTATGATCGAGTGATGCGAAATTCGAGTATCTGTCGGTGAAGTCTCTGCTGGTCGAGTGAGAGTGGCGCGTGAACTTTGCTGGTCGAGTAAAGATCTTCACCATCGAGTGTATGTCGAGTGAGAAGCTGACGGCCGAGTACGAGGTTGTTGAGTGAGCTCCGAGTAACAACTGGTCGAGTGAGCGATCGATTGAATTAAACGGTCGAGTGTTGCTTCGTGTGTCGAGTGAGATGAAGACAAGGGCAGCTCATGTGGTAGTCGATCGAGTACCGCTTGGGAATCCGGCGAGTCGAGTGACGTGGAGATGTTCGGGTGAGCTGTCACTCGAGTGAACTGAGACGATTGAGAGGGGTGATGATTATCGGGTTAACTAGTTCGCGGTCGAGTGGTGTGCGACGAGTGAGGAGAGAAACGAGACGGTGGCTGGAGTGGCGTCCGTCGAGTGGGGAGAGAAACGAGACGGTGGCTGAAGTGGGAGGATCGAGTGAGGAGAAAAATGAGTGATGGGGAGAGTGAAAATAAGGAAAATTGAGTGGGAGAGAAAAGAGTGTAAAAAACTTGTGTGGTTGGGGTGAGAGATAGGGAGAGGATAAGGGAATCGATTTTTTTTTTTTTTTTTTTTTGTGTGTTTGTTTGTGTTCCCCTTGAAGTAACAACCCAAACCCTCTGAAGTAACAACCCCAAACGGTTTTTTCTTTCCCACTCCACATTTTTCTCTGTATCATCATTGATTCCACATCCGCCATCACACTCTCCTTTTAAATGTTCTGATATTCATGTCCAAACTCCATCAATGTGTGATCTTGACCAACATAAAACCAAAAACCAAAATTAAAAAAAAAAACACAAGAAAAATCGAAGCAATATGTACATGATACCTTTGGGACTTCCTCCCAAGTGAGCTTGTTTAATGTCACTAAGCTTGACTTTTATGCCTTTTAGGCTTTAGGAGACTCATAGAGAGGTATGGAGGACCCCTCTGGTGTCTCTTGATCAGCTAGGTAACGCTTGACACGTTGACCGTACCCAGTGAACTCGCTGTCATTCTTGTTTAGGAGAGTGATCGCACCGAATGGCAAAACATCTTTGATTTCAAATGGTCCAGACCATCTAGACTTGAGCTTTCCAGGAAACAGCTTAAGTCTAGAATTGAACAGCAAGACGTGATCTACAGCCTTAAGCTCCTTAACAATAATCCTCTTGTCATTGAAAGCTTTGGTTCTCTCTTTGTAAATTTTGGAACTTTCAAAAGCATCAAGACTGATTTCCTCAAGTTCATGGATGTCAAGAACTCTTTTTGCCTGGGCTGCATCATTGTCCAAGTTCAGAAGCTTGATAGCCCAAAGCACCTTATACTCAATCTCCACAGGGAGATGACATGCTTTACCATACACTAACAGAAAAGGCGTCCTTCCTATTGGTGTCTTGAAAGCTGTCCTGTACGCCACAGAGTATCATCCAACTTGGTAGATCAATCTTTCTTCAAAGCCCCAACAACTCTTGATAAGATTCCTTTTATCTGCTTTTTAGAAACCTCTACTTGTCCACAAGTCTGGGGATGGTAGGCTGTAGACACCTTATGTTTCACACCATATTTCTTCAACATGCTTTCAAAAACCTTGTTAATGAAATGTGTACCACCATCACTGATCACTGCTCTCGGTACTCCATACTTGGGAAAGATGATGCTCTTGAACAGTTTCAGAACAACCTTGTGATCATTGGTGGGACTTGCAATGGCTTCAACCCATTTTGAGACATAATCAACTGCAACCAGAATGTAGACATTGCCATTTGATGGAGGGTTGAACGGTCACATGAAATCAATTCCCCAAATTCAAAATCGGGTTTTGAGGCATCTCATTCCTTCTGTTGATGTTACCCATCCTCTGGCAGGCGTCACACTTGGTGATGAAACTGCTTGCAGAACCTTCTGAACTGTTTTGAATGTAGCAAAGTGTCCTGCATATGCGGATCCATGACAGTGCTCAAGCACTCCCTGCACTTCCCCTTCTAAATGCATCTCCTAAACAGCCCATCTGAACCTCTCTTGTACAAGTAAGGTTCATCCCAGAAGTAGTGGTTGACATCTTTAAAAAACTTCTTTTTCCTATAATTTTCTGCAGGAATTTCTCCACATACCTTGTAGTTCACCACATCCGCATACCATGGATACTCTCTGAATTGACTGCTAGACATTGAAGCTCATTCATAGCCATTCCTGTGTGATGCATCTTCTTGCATATCTCGAGGACCATAAGATGTTCTTCAGGCATAGAGTCATCGATAGGGACTGGATCTTCTATTTTCATTCTGGACAGGTGATCAGCAACGCCGTTCTCTATACCCTTCTTGTCAACAATCTCCATATCAAACTCCTGGAGTAGAAGTATCCATCTCAGCAGTCTCGGTTTGGTATCCTTCTTGGAGTATATATGCCTAAGCGCATCATGGTCTGTGTAGACAACCACTTTTGATCCCACCAAGTAACTTCTAAATTTCTCAAATGCAAAAAATACATCCAAAAGTTCCTTCTCTGTTGTTGCATACCTCCCTTGTGTCTCATCAAGAGTTCTGCTGGCATAGTAGATAACATGAAGCTGCCCCTACTGCATAATCAGATGCATCACACATTATCTCAAAAGGATGATCACAGTCTGGAGCTTTGACTATTGGTGATGAGACTAACGCTTTCTTGATATTGTTAAAAGCTTCCAGACAGCTTTCATCAACTACAAACTCGACCTCCTTACATAGCAGTCTTCTAAGGGGTCTTGCAATTTTTGAAAAGTCCTTGATGAATCTTCTGTAAAACCCAGCATGCCCAAGGAAATTTCTTATATCCTTGACTGTCTTGGGAGGCTGCAACTGTATCATGACCTCAATCTTTGCCTTATCAACCTCAATCCTTTTCTCTGACACCTTGTGTCCCAACACTATCCCTTCGTTCACCATGAAGTGGCATTTCTCCCAGTTGAGCACTAGGCTTGTCTCCTCACATCTTGCCAATACCCTGTAGAGATTCAACAAACATGAGGAGAAGGAGGAGCCATACACGAAAAAAATCATCCATGAACACCTCCACCATCTACTCTATCAATCCGAGAATATAGAGGTCATACAAACCAAAAGGCATGCGTCTGTAGGCAAATGTGCCATAGGGACAAGTGAAAGTAGTCTTTTCCTGATCATTTGGGTGGATAGGGATTTGGAAAAATCCCCTATACCCATCAAGGAAACAGTAGTAGGGAGGATTGGCTAATCTTTCTAATATTTGATCAATGAAAGGAAGAGGGAAATGGTCTTTCCTAGATGCAGCATTCAGTTTTCTGTAATCAATGCACATCCTATGGCCAGTGATAGTCCTAGTGGGGATCAATTCATCTTTTTCATTTTATCACTGTAATTCATCATTTCTTAGGTACACAATGTACAGGGGATACCCAAGTACTATCAGAGATAGGATAGATAACCCCAGCATTTAACAGTTTAAGAATTTCTTTTTTCACAACTTCCTTAAGATTAGGATTCAATCTTCTTTGAGGTTCAATACTAGTGTATGATTCATTTTCCAGATTGATCCTACGCATGCAGAGACTAGGTGAGATCCCCTTGATATCATCTAAGGAATAACCTATGGTCCTTCTATATTTTCTAAGCTCAGTGATTAGCAACTTTAATTCCTCATTACTCAAGCTAGCATTCACAATGACAGGATAAGTAGAGTTAGATCCAAGGAATACATACCTCAGTCCTAATGGTAGCGGTTTGAGCTCAACCTTTGGAGCTTTTAACTCAGACCAATCATCATCCGCTGCTTTGATAGGGTCAACAGCTGGGTGAGTGATCGGGTTGCCACTGACTTCCTCCTCTACTGCGCATACCTCCTTGACAG